TTAGCATGAAATGGAGCTTAGTTATGTAGCATGAGGCTGTATATTCCACAATATTTACATTTTTGGTAAACTCATTCAATGCAAGCTGAGAACATGCACTGCATTGATGCATTCACACAATTTCACAGTAAGTAACCATGAGATAAATCATAAAACAAAGTTCAGGAATATTCCATTAATCCCATTGTTTTGCAAATCTACGTACACTGCAAACTGTATGATTGTTTGAAGAGAAATGCATCTGTACCAGTATTGGTGAATGGGGACTCTGTTGGTGAGTCAACAGTGGGTCAGAGGAGGAGCCGCTGCGGGACAGAGATGACAGTTGCAGCTGAATACTGAAAAATGGCCTGGCCAAGAAGGGGGTCTAAACACCTGGTCTTGAAGTGGTTAAAAATTATGATTTAAATCCAATCCACCTTGCTGCATACATAATTGTATCAGGCCCATGCAGTAGAGTGCAGTCTCCCAGAGGTGCCTGTAACGTAACATGACGTGTGACAAAGCTTGAGAGCAAGAAGGGGCTAGTATTTGTATAGCTCAGTGTGGACCGTGGGACAGAAGGTTCCTATTGATGAGAACAGGCAATTTGTTCTCATTTTTAAATGCTGTCAGAATTGAGGGAGAAGACCTAAAGGGCCATAGAGGAGCAGCTATACATACTATCACCAAATTTCAGACTTGCCAGTAGCTAGCTCCGTAATGGAGATCCAAGAATACCCTCTACCATTGAAATAGGAGCCTCACTGTTGTCCATTGTAAACTGCAGGTGACCACCTGTTGTCTGTAGGATAGGTTGTCATGCTCGGCCTGGCACATAGAGCTTGTGGTAAGGCAGAGCCCCATCGCTAAAGCCATCTTAGAATTGCTGGTGGTTAGCAGACTAAAGAGAAGTGCAGTACAGACATTTTTTTTTTTTTTTTTTTAGGGATATGATCGGCTTTGTATAGAGTTCTGTTCTCGGTTTCTCTCATTTCTGCTTAAAAGAGAAACGGACAATATGGCTGTATAAGCAGGTGTGAGGTGCAAGTTTAAGGCCGGGCGATTTTAGTTCAGTCTCTCAAAGATGTAGATGACTACCTGTCTAAAGCATGCAATAGAATGGATGCAGAAAGATTAATGTGGACAGTCCGCTTGTTCAAGGGAGATAACTAGCATTCTTGGTGTCTAAGATTTTCCTCCAGTATGTTGTCAAATCTCTTTGACCGGGCATTTATTATTTCCTCTTGTTGCTCATCACAGCCTCTACCTGCCGGACAGAAGATTGTAGGTCCCGTGCTTTTATCATTAGTTGAGAGGGCAGGCCTATTCACGGGAGGCAGAAGGATCTTTGTGACCATCAGATGCATAATACACTACCCCAGTCTGCATGTGCTGTTGCATAATTGAAGTATACATTAGAACAGGTTTGGTTGTTGTAAAAGGTTTACAATGTAAAGCTTTGGCCGGGCTGCCATACAGCTATTCTCGGACAGCTTATGTTACTCTTCTAGTGTCACAGTAACAACTGTTCTGCTTTATTGCTCCTGATGCTTCAAGTGGTTGGCTGTTCTAAGTATTCTGTACAGTTGCATGTGACATGCAAACATGTGCCCTTGTTTATACAAGTTGTTAAAAGGAACAGCAGCTTGTTGGAACCTGACAGGTTGGTTTGGGAAGCGGTCATTTTCTCGCTGTTGCACGTTAAAAAAACGAAAGAGCGAATTGGATAGCTATGGGCAACACACTTCTTTCTGTTGTACTTCTAGATCTGGAACCTTAGAGGCAAAAAACATAGCACCTAAGATCATGGTTTTACCTTTTGATTTAAATTGATCTCCACGATAATATTAACTCCCACCCCCAAATTGCTGGCTTAAAACAAAAAGGTGCGGTCACCTGATGCTCCACTATAGAGCATTCTCTATTTCTTTCTTTCACATTAGACTTCTTTGGGTGCCCCCATCATTGCCTACATGACTTCCTATTGGTCGTCCAGTGGGGAAATCAAAATCCAGAAGTGGAGTGATGTCAATGCAAGGGGACTAGCCAGGTCAGCTGCATCTGTGGTGTTCGATTAGAGGTCCCCCACACCCTGAAACAGTACTGGTGAGGGACCTGCATGGTGGACTTAGGTGAGTACAACTTGCTTCATAAGGCAAAAAGAAAAAAAATGAACAGGATTGGTTTGGGGGGATGGGGAATATCCTGCAGAGGGGCTTTAATAAAGCTTTTTTATTTTAAGGTAATTTCACATCAGTGTTTCATCTTTCAATATATTTTAAGTTTCACATTCCAATTATTTAAAGAACATATGCTACTGTTTTTACTTCTGTATATGTGCTAAGTCAGTGCTGTGCCAGCCTACATGAATTTTTAAAAACAATTGAATTGATCTTTTCAAACATTCAGTTTACCAGATGACTCCCATCTCGCACGGAAAACAGAAGAGCTAGATGCACAGTGGGCTGCTGCATGAAATTCTCTGGTTATGTGACTCGGGCATGATCTGGAGTTCCAAAATAGACTGAGAAACTGTAAGGGCACTTCTTAATGCCATTATATTAACCTGGACCCCAGTACGCTAAGCCAACACATCTATGCTGTAGTATGTTGCTTTACAAAAAAAGGGTCCTGTGCAATTTTAGGCACGTTGGGCTGTGCTGGCAGCCCATCAATGGTAATTGGGCTGCCTTTGCACCGTGCACACTAAGGTCTCGTTCACACCTAGGCGTATTGCATATGCGCGTCTGTCGCACGTTTTTTACCATGATTCGCGGTAAAAGTTGCGCGTTTCCGAAGGCTACTTGGCTGTATCCCAATGGAAACGCGCAACAAAACGGCCCAAAGTAGTACCTGTACCTTTTCAGGTGTGGGCCGTTTTGTAGCGCGTTAGGGATGGGCGGAAATACGCCAAGGTGGGAACGAGACCATTGAATAAAATGGGATTTCTATTTTTGAGCGTTTTGTAGAGCGTTCGTCGAGCGTAGAACGCGCTACAAAACGTTCAGGTGTGAACGAGGGCTAACTCACAAATTAACACACTAATGCTCCACGAAGAAGTGGGCCCAAAATATTTCCTGGTTCCTGTCATTTCTTGAGTCTACTGAGCTCTAATATCCTGCCGCAATTGACATGTCTTGAGGTGGGAGAAGAAAACTGATTTGCCACAAACGACATCTAGGACAAGAGTAAGAACTGACTTTTCTGAAAATGGGAAGAAACTGTTCATATGTCTCAAGCTTATCCTGGATACTGGGAACTGTCATATTGTCCTCGTAGGTTGAATGTCTCTCTAGTATGTTTTTTTTTGAGTATTGTGTGCCTGCAGTGAAACATGTACTGAGATCCAAATCAAGGTATCAATATCTGCACACCCACCAGCCACCTTGCTTGGAAAATACCAGGCTGTGCCCTGATTGGTGTTTTAGGCGGATATCTCTTGGGAGGGGGCTGGGATTGGTCTTGGCCAGTCTTTGCTGGTAGCTACAATGAATCATCCTTATTGGTGTGAGTCGGTTTTCTTATGTCTGCTGAGGGGACTGTTAATTTGGATATCCATTCACCATGTAAAAACCCTGTTCTAGCACTGTAGTGGGATGTTTTCTTTTTGGTTCCATGGCATTTTTATTTATTTTGCTGCTCAAGCTTTTATAACCATAATGGAAGCTGCAGAAATGTGCATATCTCAAAGAAACAATATAATGGAAAAGTCCGTAATCTTTTATGTTGCATAGCTGCTCGACGTGTACATTTTAGATTTCTGTTTGGCAGAATGACTATAATGTATATTTTGGCAAATAGTGACCATAACTAGATCCTATAAATGGTTGAAGTTTTGTGCTGACAAAATACTTCCAAAGTGTTCCTGTGGCCATTGCTAAGAGATGGGTTTTCTATAGAAAGGGAAGATTGTGATTAGCTTAACATCTTGCATAATGAATAAGCGCCAACTAGAAAGTGCTGAGGTTTGAGATGAGTTACAGAGACAAGATTACTGACACTTCTATTTAAAAAAATAAAAATAAATTGTGTGTATTTTTTTTTTATGTAAGCCAGTGAAGATTTGCGGGTTTTTTAGAAAGTAGAATGAAAATTAAAACGGTCCATATTGTGGAATTTGGCAGATATGACACCCTGAGAAAAAGGGTGTTGGGTAGAATACATCTTGACTTTGGGTTGGGACGTTTTAAACTTAAACATTCACCAGTAGCACAGCAAAGAAAATTCTACTTCTTTATGCCACACCTCTTGGCTTTACTTATCATGGGATAAATGCAGAGCAAATAAACATTCCAGAAAAATGTGTGTACTATATAGTGAGGGTTGTCGACATTGTGGTATGTATGTATGTATGTATGTATCTATCTAATTTTGGGTTTACCAAAGACTCAAGTAGGGTATACACTGTTAGAGATGCAAACAAACAAAATCTATTTCGGAACGTTTGTTCGCTTTTCTAATTCGTTGATGTGGTGACATCGCTTATCAATTTTCGACCGCAGTGGTGAAAAAATTTAAAGGCACCTGTTGGAAAACTTTCCTCGATGGAACGAAATTCTAAAGGCGAATGTGGTTTTTGTTCATGAAGCTCCATTCATTCCAAAAACAAATGTTAAAGAAAAATGAAATTTTGAATAACAATCACCAAGTCTCTGATGTTATCGAATGGTCCAATGGGATTTTTCCTACAAACGTTCATGCAAAAAAATCAGGAGTAATTAGAAGACATGATTCCTCTTAACCTTATGTCTTATTAAAATTCCATATGGCTATGCTAACGTAAGGGGCTCCTCACTTCAGCTGTGAAAAACACTTCAGCAGTTATTGGCTGAGGGTAGTGCCAATCAAGGCTAAACTTGATTAGCTAAGATAATGTAAGGTTGGAGCTGCTGAAGGTGGAATCTTGTATAAATCTATTGATCTTTCTAAAAATGTCAGTCTCCTAATCTCTAGTGAAACTTTCATTTGTCTTTTCTTTTTAACAAAAAAAACTTAATTATTTTTGTTTAACATTTTAGATCTGGTGAGTAAAAAATGGTGGATCGTCTGGCAAACAGCGAAGCCAATTCAAAACGTATCAATGTAGTGGAAAGCTGCTTTGGAACAGCTGGACAACCGCTGGCTATCGAAGGTCGAGTTCTCATTGGAGAAGGTGTGTTAACAAAACTCTGCAGGAAGAAACCAAAAGCCCGGCAGTTCTTCCTGTTCAATGACATTTTGGTGTATGGCAATATTGTCATTCAAAAGAAGAAGTACAACAAACAGCACATCATCCCTCTCGAAAATGTTACAATAGACTCCATACCAGACGAGGGGGACTTGCGCAATGGGTGGCTCATCAAAACCCCTACCAAGTCGTTTGCAGTGTATGCCGCCACAGCAACCGAGAAATCCGAATGGATGAATCACCTCAACAAGTGTGTTTACGATCTTATTTCTAAAAGTGGCAAGACCCCAAATAGCGAACACGCGGCGGTGTGGATTCCAGATTCTGAGGCTCATACTTGCATGCGCTGTAAGAAAGTGAAGTTTACCCCCGTTAACCGGAGACATCACTGCCGGAAATGTGGTTTTGTCATTTGCGGACCTTGCTCTGAGAAAAGGTTCCTTTTGCCGAACCAATCTTCAAAGGCTGTACGGGTTTGCGATTACTGCTTTGAGCGATTGTGTAGTGGAGATTTGTCTTCCAATCCGTCAACCAGATCAGACTCCCTATCCAGTTCCCCCAAAACAACCGATCACCTGTCTGATGATGACGACGACGATGATGACAGCAGTGACTAAACCTTTTAAGAAGCACACATTGGAAGGCTTGATTTTTGGAGGGCCGATTGGTGGAGCTAAGATAAATTTGTGCTGCTTTTTTTAACTGGGACCGTTTAAAGTGAACACTCATTGGCTGAGCAACCCCTGCGTTATTGATTACCCTTTGCCTGAGAATATTTAACGATATGTGCCTTGATATAACAATCGTGTTTTTGGTTCTTTCAGGGATTGCTTTATAAACCTGTAAAGCTTTTAATTTTCTCTTCTGAAGCTCCTGCAGGTAGATTTGATGATCACAATCTAAGAAATCTGAGAATTCTTCTACTTGTCGTGGTTTTATAAATATCAGAACAGTGACTGAATCCAGTCAGTGATTTCAGGTGCCTTATTAGTGCTAAGAAGGGACTTCCCTCTGTTGGTGCATAGTCAGACACTATAGAAATAAAATCTTCATTTATAGATCTTTTAAAAAGGCTGGTTTTCTCTTTTACCTTACTGTTTTAAGTTTTTTTTGTATTTTCGAACTCAGGACTTGTCAGCACTGTATTCTCCTCCTAATGTAACTTTTCTGATTTTGTAATCCTATAGGAGGCATTGCAAAATGTCCTCCCTGCTCTTTATCACAAATGCCCATGAGCCAAATTGTAGGCTTGGGGAAACTACTACATTGGGTGCATGTTTTGTTCTCTCTTTATCCTTTTGTGCTATTATTTTTTTCCTCAAATGCGAATTTCTGTTGCAACAATCATTTTGGATCACTAAATCTGTATAGTATTAGTAAGAAGGGGTAACCTACAGTAGAGTTCTGTAGCCAGCCTAGTGTAATAGCTGGGAGGATGTCTTTCATATGGCAGCAATACAAATGAACTCCTGAGGTTTTGTCCTGACATAAGAACCAAAGCACTTAAGACATTTTGTCTTCAGGCTTCTGAGACTTCAGGGCCAAATGATGTACAGTAAGCCAGCTGAGATTCTTTGGTTTCTTTTCTCCTAGTAAAGCTAGTGACCTTTAACAAGTCACTAAAATAGTATTTGGTATCTTTTGTACTGGGCGGTTCTGTCATCAGCAATAGACAGTATTGCAGGGTCTGGAGAGTGCTTGCAGACCTCTAAGTACATCAATGTACACTTGGACATGTCGTAATTGTGGTTTTCAAGCCACACACAGGTCTTGGCTAAGGTAGACCTAGATTCTCTAAAACTATGAATGACTTTGCTGCAGAAAATGGAGCTCAGGGTTTCATTCAGACAAATCCCAATCAATCAGCAGCTCTGCCTGAACACTATTCTTCCCCTGATGCAAGGATGATGTCTGTAGGGTGAATTCAGAACACTGGTTTCTATAGCAGAGGTAATTATTTCACAACAGCAGTTACCTATTATATGCTTTATGCTGTACTGTTGCTATATTTCCTGTTTTCAGAATATAGGTCTACTTTTAAAGAACTCCAGGAATTTTTTGAATTAACCCTTGCAATGCGGGAGTGTCTGGTTAGTGTCTAGGTTTAAAATAAAAAGTTGTACTCACTCACCTGAAGCTCTGAGCCTATTCTTAGACAGTCCTTCCAGCGTCTCTCCCCCCTCCTCTGCAGCGGTCTAAGGCCTGGTTCACACGTGGGCGTTCTACAGCGAGTTCCTACGTGTGAAAACCAATGATTGCCTATGGCCCAAAGAAGTACAGGAGCTTCTTTGGGGCGTTTTTCCGTGCGTTTCCATTGGTATTCCAGAGTGTGGATCGAGGTTAACAAAGCGGTAACCCCGAGCTACACTCGTGAATACAGCGTACAGGTCTTACCTTGACCGCGATCCCCGCTGTGTCCTCCGGCGGCTGCCGACTTCCGGGTTCTGTCCCTTGCGAGCAACTGCGTCGCAGGGGGCGGAGCCGGCGGGAAGTTTAAAAGTGAAACAAAAAAAATTCAAACAAAAAAACGAGTGGCGAAAAATACGCTCAGGTGTGAACCCAGCCTAAGGTCCCATAAACCATCAACATCTTTACAGTGTATAGACATGAGGAGGCTGAGGAAGATTCCAATGCTGCAGCCGGCTCGGAGCTTCAAGTGAGATCTATATATAGATATCCTTTAGATCTATATATAGATATCCTATCTATCGATATAGTGTTATTTTTGTCTCTAGACACAAGCACTTAACCCTTGCAGTGCCGGGGGAAGCCACACTGCAGGGGTCAATAAAGTTTTCATGAAGCGCTTTCATGCTTTTTTAGGGCCCAATTATGTGCATTGTGTTCGGGCAGCCCATTCATTTTTTTCTTAAACAGTGCACAGATGGTTTGCTTTGTACTAGTGTGCTAATGTGTTATGAGTTTTCCACCTCTACTCTGCACTGTTTTTAATCCTGTCCAACGTTCCTGCCACTCTCTAAGATTAGCCAGGAACATGACTGCTTCTTTGGACACTGCATGAGCCAGAACCTGTTTAGAGTCAAGAAAAATAGTAGTTCTGCAGGACGGTTATTTTTGGCAAAGTATTAGAAGTGGCTTTGTAAGGAAAATGTGAAATTCGTTAAGCACACTACATGCTAAAAAAACGTGATGGAGGAAGCGTTCATGGGGAAAACAATCTAATGTAGATCAAATCTCAGTTAAAACCAAGTTTTCGGTGTTGGAGGGGTGGGAGTTTAATTTTCAGATTTCCTTTGTACCTTAGCCATTTAATATTCAGATTTGTTTTGCTGAGGTAACTGCAGCATTTTATTTACATCAAAATTATCTTAACAGGAGCCAATCGCTGACTGGTGAAGAATGCCGTGCTCTCTCACCAAAGATTAAAATTGAAAATCTTATGAAAGAATTTCTGTACTATTAACGTATATTTTCTTGTTTCATGATTTAATTTGTGATTTGAAAGTTCATATTCTTGTGTTCAACTCTCTAATTGGGAAAAACTCAACATTAAAGGATTAGTCCACCTTTAAGTGATATGTTGGTTAATTCTATGGTCTGGTAGGTGAGTCACCAGTTGTCTTGTCTCTTGGGAGATTCCAGCCACAAGAGCCTGACTGTCCTTATCCACCTTGGGGTGTTCCATTACAAAATGAAATATTACAGGAACTCCTCATAATGCAGACAAGTCCCCATCTGTCTGAGAACATGCAGGCAGTATGTTTCAAAAACTCCAATTACCTTTTTTTTTTTTTTTTTTTTTAATATATATTGGTAAACGTCATTCAGTATGTCATTTAAACCTTGACTTGGATAATTCTGTAAAGGATATATTTTGCTTTTTTTTTTTTTTTTAACTTAAAAGAAAAACTGTAGAACATGTGTACTTGCTATATAATGTATAGTTTATTTAATTGATATCTGACAACCCTTTGAAATGTACTCCTTTTAAAAAAAATATTTTTGAATACCAAGCCATTAGAGGAACTCCAGAGAAAATAAACCTATTCTAACTGGATTCCTTTGCCTAACCAAAGACCAACCTTCATACATAAAATCATGTCGAATTATCAAAGGTTTATCCTGTGGGCCTGTTCTATAGCTAGAACTTTTAACAAATAGCTATACTGTTCCATGATTGATTCATAGTTCTACTTAAGCTGGCCACACACCTATGGATTTTCTATGGTCAGATGGAAAAAGTGCAACAAATTCCTCCATCTACGCTAAACTGTATGGACGGAGTAATCTCCCACTGGGCCAAGCTTCAGTATCTTGCTAGTCGGCCCCGTTGGCTCCCCAAATACCTGAACAATCTGATTGGATGTACCCACTCGAGTATCAGCCTGTATTGCTCCCTTCATTATCTGCCTAGTTCTCATTGCTGTGATAGCTTGACTGACAATTACTATGCCACAGTCTTCCTAAATAAGATTTGTTTTTTTTGAGATGCAGATTTTTTGTGGAACAAGTGGGGTTTTTAATTTCTACTATATAAAGGGGAAAAGGACAAAGTTTTTTTTGGAGGGGGGGGTCCCCTTTTTGTGTTTTATTGAATAAAAATGTCACAGCAGTACAAAAAAATGGCTCCTTTTTGCCAGATGGGACACCCCAAGGTTTTTCCACAATTGTTTTAAAGTTAGGAAAGATTCTGGTATTGAGGTAAAAATGGAGCTTGGTAATGGTGCACTAGATATATAATGCACGGGCAATACATAGACGGAGGAGGTAAATGGGTTCATGTACAGGTTACATAGAGGGGGAGGATGGAGATGAAGGGGGATTATGTGCACGGCATGGGAGAATGGAGACGAGGGGGTTTATGTGCAGGATAAGAGGTGAAGGGGCTGTGGGGGGGGAATGAAAGTGTGTGTAGAAAAATCCCAGTGTGCTGCCTGTGATGTATACTATGATCAGGAACTAAAGCTGGCCATACACTGTAATATTTCTTTATTCAACCTGTGGGCTGACTGCCCACTCTGTTCGTTCAAAGACTTTTGGACCAGCTCCTTTAATCAGCTGAGCGAGACATGCCCGCCGTAAGGGTGTAGACACCAGCACCCACTTTGTAAATTCTCGATGAACCAGCCGAAATTCACTTGGTGGTTGGCCAGCTTAATGAATGATTATTTCATTCCTCCATTCTCCCTTACTCCATTGTAAGAAGGAACGGGCTTCCAGATGTAAACCCTAAACTGTATACATCTGTGATGGCAGTGATTTGTGATCACAAGTACTAATCCAAGCGGCTCTGTCCGTGAACCAAGCCGTCCTGTGAGTGCTCGGTTCACCGCCAATAATGGGCGCAGCGGCTGTCTGATGCTTTTCTGCAATGATGTTTATAAACCACATTGCATAGAAGTCCTCCATTTGCCATTTGAAAACATTTGGTGTTGCATAAGTGATTACACTTGGTCTGAATTGAGAAGTTGGTAAAACTTGTAATGTCCTACATACATCCCCTGTAATCCAAAGAATAAAGGTGGGAGCAATAGTGTGATCTGTTAAAGCCCCAAAAATTGTTTTATATTTTATATACAATATATTTTTCCTATTATATGGTTTTCTTGCAGTTCTAGAAAAGAGCAACATTATCTCGTGGTGGTGTCGTCGTCCCCCCCCCCCATATTACTATTTACCAACTTTAAGGGTTGAACGTTTTTGAGCTTTTTTTTTCCCCGCAATTTTTGCCCAAGATACTTTGCTGAAAGGGAATGTATAGTTTTGTCCTTGATGTATATTTACACGTGTGTATAATTTTGTAATGTAATATCGGCAGAGCTTGTGTATATATAATGTAATTACATCCTCCTGGCTCTGCTTCCTGTTCTGTACACTGTGCTTGCACCTTCCTGCTTTCTTAGCATGCAGATATATTGATTGGTCAACATATTTGAAGAAAAAAAAAAACACCCCACTTACTGTGAGTTTATCTCAACCGTTGTTAAGCAGGAAGGTTCAAGTGCAGCCGAGTCCAATACAGAGCTGCAATAATAACTTATAGTATGTGCTCACTAGAAATACACTATACTTTCCCTTTAAGAAATAAGATTGACTT